GAGGAAGGGATGAAATTTGAGGGGGGGGAGAGGAAGGAAATTTGAGGGAGGGGGGAGAGGAAGGGAGGAAATTTGAGGACACTGCATCCCTGTGGGCGGACTGAGGAGGGGGACGGGACGGACGTACTCGGCTGCAGGCACCGGGGGGCCCAGACCTTGAGCTGTGTCAGGGGCCCCAAAATTTCTGATGGCAGCCCTGCCCAACTGCATATACCCTTAACATAACTTTTTATTTAAACTATCCCCACCCTTTGTCCATCCAAGCTCTTGCCCCCACCCCTTTACCAACTCTGAGACGGTGAAACAATTCAGTCAAATGTTTCTCTATGATTGGACCACGACAGGGCACTGGTGACTTCAGACAGAGGTGTGGAAATTAGTGAGAGGTGCTTTGCATGGTGCTGGATTCCGGGTTAGCTTACAGCTAGTTTAATAGGGAATTTAACAAAAAAATGGGGAGTGAACATGCATAAAAAGGCCCAATAGGGCTTTATAAATTAATAAAGGGAAGGGGAAAAGGGGTTACAGTAATCCTTTAAAGTTTGTTGACAAAAAAAAAAAAATCCTACCATATTAAATGATTGTAAATTCAACCAGACCACTTCATTTAAATGAGTCGGTCTGGGTGCACTGGCCCTGATGTTTTATCCATGCAATGTCAAACATTGCAGGGTTAAACACAGCTCTAGTGTCTTCTAGACAGCCACTAGAGGCGCTTCCCCTACAATGACCGAGTGACCAAATGCAGCTCACAAAAACCCATTGAATTCAATACTTTCCTATGAGAAGCATTTGGTTTCATGTGTAGCGCTCGCTGCACATCTGCATCAGTCTTCAGTGCCCCTCTATGAGGAGTGTGGATTGGACTATCGGATTGAGACTGACACCTTTTGGATAATGTCGCGGGAGGCAGAGCAGCTGGCAGCGCCATCACCGCTGAAGAAAAGGCAAGGAAAACCCTTTTTGAAATTATTTTTATTGCCCTATAAACTAGGGAACAACCGCGTTGGGAATACATGGTTGTATTCGTAATGCTATAGTGTTAATTTTAATCCGGAAGAACAATTAGATAGTTTTCATTCATCCACCTTCCTCATTGTGCTTTTAAAATTTTTGTACAGGTACAGGATTTAGCAACTGATTTAGAGTTAAAGGGTCTTTCTTCCCTCAAAATAACTTCATCTAAATTAAATTGCATTGAGGCCTAGCGTCCCTGGGGGAAGACTTACCTTTAGGTGTTAAAATGTTTTCTTAAAGTTTAACACCTAAGATTCCCCCGTCCTCTCCTCCCCCTCGATCCTTTTCATCTCTTTGCTTGATCACTCTGCTGAGCAGAGAATGGAATCATTGGGAACTGGTGATTGGCCTAGAACAGGCATAGGCAACCTTCGGCACTCCAGATGTTTTGAACTACACTTCCCATGATGCTTTGCTAGCGTTATGGGTGTAAGAGCATTGTGGGGGATGTGGTCCACAACATCTGCAGTGCCGACGGTTGTCTACCACTGGCCTAGAGTGTCAGCTGAAACTGTTAGCTAATCAATGGCCGCCCATTGCAAGTTCAGTATTTTATCACGACAGGAGGCGTCATATTTTGCATTCTTTCTTTACTGCACCACCATAGCAGCAAACAACAATAAAGTAATCAACCAATCAGAGAAAGATAAAATCAATAAAAAATACTGATCCATTATAACACTTCCTCTTTCTTTGCTTCTCCTGCCTCCCGATCAGGTCAGAGTATGCTCCCCCTTAATAGGGTATTTATGCTTACAGTGATAATGTGATTTTGTTCATTTATTTAAAGCGGCACTGTCATTGCCAAATCCCGTTTTCTTTTTTTAACACCCCTTCCTGACTCCACTTCATCTAATTGTCCTCCTAGTCACCTCCAAATGAACCTAAGCCCCTATATTACCTAGTTTTTCATCTTTATTTTCTGCCCGGACTTAGGTCCTGGGCACCGCCATCTTTGTGTGGGTAGATGAAGTCCCTGTGGGACACATCATCTGTCCACACTAGATAGCCTGTGAGATTCCCGCACATGCCCAGTAAAACACTTGGGCATGTGAATGGGAATTTCATCCATTCATTCGTCAGAAAGACGAATGAATAGAAATGTCAGACAAACAAACACAGAATATCGGTGTTCGTTTGTTCAGTTTATTACAAGGAGGGAGCTACCGGCTCGCAGCTCTCTCCTTATAAAATGTAAAAATAGAAGCGGTAGGGAGCAGGGCTCCCCGCCACTTCCTAAGCCCCCATGTTCTCCCTCAGTCTATGGGGGTCAATATCACCCCCATAATAGCATAAAGGAGATTGAAATATACCGAAGGCCTTTTGGAGATGTTTATACTGTTGTAACAGTGGCCAAAATCTTTCTAGTGTCCCTTTCACAGCATACCACCATGCTTCAAAAGTGCCTATGCATCTGATTTGGTCTTGGCTAGAGGCACCTGGTATTTTGTCAGATAGGAGTACTTTTCTATCCATTAAAGGACCACTATAGTGCCAGGAAAACATACTCGTTTTCCTGGCACTATAGTGCCCTGAGGGTGCCCCCACCCTCAGGGTCCCCCTCCCGCCCGGCTCTGGAAGGGGGAAAGGGGTTAAAACTTACCTTTTTCCAGCGCTGGGCGGAGAGCTCTCTGCCTCCTCTCCTCCTCCATTACGCCCCGCCGGCTGAATGCGCACGCGCGGCAAGAGCTGCGCGCGCATTCAGCCGGTCTCATAGGAAAGCATTTACAATGCTTTCCTATGGACGCTTGCGTGCTCTCACTGTGAAAATCACAGTGAGAAGCACGCAAGCGCCTCTAGTGGCTGTCAATGAGACAGCCACTAGAGGATTAGGGGGAAGGCTTAATCCATTCATAATTATAGCAGTTTCTCTGAAACTGCTATAATTATGAAAAAATGGGTTAACCCTAGAAGGACCTGGCACCCAGACCACTTCATTAAGCTGAAGTGGTCTGGGTGCCTAGAGTGGTCCTTTAAGAGGGCTCTTTGATAAGCATTCTTTAGGCATTTATTAGGGTACCCCTTTTCTTTAAAGTTTGCCCTCAGTTTTTTGGCTTTACCTTTAAAGTCTTCCATAGATGAACAATTCCTCCTTAGTCAGAGATATTGTCCGACTGGAATACCTCTCTTGAGGGATGGGGGATGATGACTTTTCCGGTTAAAGGACCACTATAGGCACCCAGACCACTTCAGCTCAATGAAGTGGGTGCCAGGTCCCTCTAGGAAAAACCCTTTCTGCTGTAAACATAGCAGTTTCAGAGAAACTGCTATGTCTACCTTAGGGTTAATCCAGCCTCTAGTGCCTGTCTCATTGACAGCTGCTAGAGGCGATTCCGCGCTTCTCACTGTGATTTTCACAGCGAGAAGACGCCAGCGTCCATAGGAAAGCATTGAGAATGCTTTCCTATGGACTGGCTGAATGCGCGGGCGGCTCATGCCATGCATGCGCATTCAGCCGATGACGGGGAAAGGAGGAGGAGAGTCCCCAGGCCCGAGGGAGCCCGGCGCTGGAAAAAAAGTAAGGGATTAACCGCCTTCATGCCCCTAGAGCCCGGCGAGGGGGACCCAAGGACACTATAGTGCCAGGAAAACGAGTATGTTTTCCTGGCATTATAGTGGTCCTTTAAGGACTCAATTAGAAAGCGCTAAAAGTGATGGCTGGTATCATCTGGAAAGTGAGATTTTTGGAATAAAAGATTTAAGCTCTATCTTGTGGTTTAGTAGCACTGAATCCCCGAATAATTTATGTTAGGAAATCCAGTATATGTTTAAATTATCTACTGGAAGGTTGGAAGTCGGTCAAAAAAAAGTGCGGAATAGAAAATAAATTCCCTCCAAATATGAAATTGACGTTGATACCTTTTATATGTCGAAGATTTGAACTTAAACAGGTGGATTCAAAAAGGCATTTGTCAAGTGGATCAACTAATGGAGAAGGATATAACAAAACCTTTCCCTAAGTTGGTTGAGGAATTCCACCTACCAAATAATGAATTATTCACATATATAAAGATAAAAAAAATGATATAACCCAGAATATTATCCGTAAACCCTCTGATGGTGTTAAGGTGTTATGTACAGTATTTAAATATGAACTGGTAGATAAAGTAGCTTAAAAAATTACTTGTGGTCTATTAAAATTAGAAGCTCCTAAGATTATTGCAGCATGTCAAAAATGGGAAAAAGATTTAAATACAAACATTAAGAGGGAAGAGTGGTGCTCAATGATCCCCAAAACAAGCAAATGTATTCACTGCTTGAATGTTTCCGAAGCCTTATTTAAAGTAATGAATAAGTGGTACCTCGTACCATCTAGACTTGCTAGAATGTATAGTTCATGCTCTACGATGTGCTGGAGATGTAACAAGAGACTTGGCTCCTATATGCATATCTGGTGGGAGTGTGATATAGTGAAGGATCTTTGGAAGAAGATCTTTGACATGGTAGAGAAATTGGTCAAAAAAATCTATCCCTAAAGCACCAGAGAATGCTATCATACATTTAAATATTAAGCAACTACAAAGTAAATAAGCTTTTATATTCATTCATTTTATGGTTGCAGTTAAAATAGTTATCGTACGTAACTGGATAGTATTTACACCATTTATTCTAGACATGGTAGTATCACAAAGTCACGTTTCAAATAAAAATGGAAACATTACTCTATAAGTCACAGGGATTGGATCCAAGGAAACAAAACTATAGTGAAACCCTGGCTCAATAAAATCTTAGAGTTTGAATAAAATAAATCTTGAGTCGTAAATCCAAATACAAATAGTGAGTTTTGTTCTAAACCTGTGCCTATCCTCGTTGATACAGGGTTTGAGTTCCCCAGGCCTGTCCTCAATGGTGTGTCTATGAATGTAATTTTGTCTCATTGTATTGCGGCAAAATGTTTCTTCGCCTGTGTAGACAAAAATCCTTGCAACCGCAACCCTTTAACTCTTTTAGAACACACAGCCCTTTTCCCTGTATTGAAGGCAGGATTTGGCCATGCTGTATTGCTGCTATCTCTTTCAGCGTTGCTATCCTAAGAATTAATTTAGTTTACTATTCACGGACTTGATGAACCTTTTTGATCCTTATTTACCATTAAATCTATGTCCCTGCGTAGCGTACAGAATCAATTTTTTTTAATAAACCCCAAAATATCCCAAAAAGTCCAATGGGGGCCAAATAACAGCTTAATCTGAATACATAGTTGTACCATATTATAACTATAAAATGTACACATCTTATTATTTTATTATTATTTTATTATTTATATAGCGCCATCAGATTCCGTAGCGTATTTGACTAACATCACAGCAGCTGTTTAAAAAAATTTAAATTAACAATAAATTAATTTTATTTTTTAAATTATTATTTTCATTGCATTACTTTACATGTAAATGCTATAAAATAAAGCAACCACAAGGGGGCGGTATCGCCTAACAGTTTATACGTGAATTACTACATTATTGTCAAATTGCTGGGAACGCCCACTTTCTGCCTCGCTCTGCGTACCAACCCTCGTTCTTTCAACCGTAGGCCACGCCCACGTCAGAGCGGAATGTTTCTTGCTAAGGTAACCGTTATTCTTGGTGTCCGCGTGCCCGAGCTGTCAAAGCTAACCTCGCCCACAGTGAGCCGAAGGCACGCCCCTTTCGGTCTCTTGGCGCCGCCCAACGCTCTAATCACTCATTCAAAATTTTGCAGTTTTATTGGTAATTACAGTGACAGCTTGTTTTTAACCCCTCCCACATCACTTGTACTCCAGCTGTTATGGACTACATTAAACATGATGCCTTAGTGTTAGTGGCAGATTGTGAAATGTAATGCCAATGGTTGATCATAACTTGTCAGTGCAAAAGGAATGATATCCTGTTCTTCTATTGTTTAAAAAACTACAAATCCCATCATCCTCTGTTTAGCTGGGAGATGCAGTCCATATGAGATATCATGGGTGTACAAGAGCTGTCTTGCCTCACACACCCACTGCATCTCACAGAAAGCCAGGCAGGGACCACTTGGAACAATTATAATGCAAAACCCTGGGATATTATTAGGGAGTAGGCTAGGCCAAACTGCTGTGGACTACAGTGCCCATCATCCTTAGCAAGCAATGACTTTCTTAAATATTAATTTAGAGCTATTGTATGCATCGCAGGGATGGGCAGGAGCTGGGTAGTTTCAGAACTACAACTCCCATGATGCTTTGTATACATGTAGCATGGCAAAGCATCATGGGAGCTGTAGTTTTAAAACATGTGGTGATTTCCTTTTTGGGCACCCCTGCCCTATGTGTTTGTGGAGTACATGTCAGTGGATGCCAAGCCCTGTGCAATGAGTGCCATGCTGTCAGTGACATTATAATGCTGCACTAATAATAATAACAGTAATCACAGTGATAATCATTCTTCTTCTAGTAATCATTATTACTGTTATTATTCTTAACTCTTCGAGTGTTTTTTTTTTTGTTTTTTTTTTAAAGTCTCCATGTCTCCCTCTTCCCGGTGTTGCTAGGCAACCGCGAGCCCCCGCCCCTCTCCTGGCAGTCGCCCAGGTCGCCCCGCCCACCGGCCGCGCGCCTCGTCCAGCCTGTGAGCGGTCCTGTCCAGGCGCGGCCCCGCGGTGCCTCCCGAGCGGCTGTGTGTGTGAGGGGATGAGACAGCGCGAGACACGGGGAGACAGGCTGTGACAGGAGCCGCGTACACCGCCCGGACTGAGAGAGAGAGCGCTCCCTGCCCTGAGACAGACACACAGAGAGACTGCTGTGCCCGTTATTCTGCTGCACTGAGGGAGGGGGAGCCACCCCACGGCCCCCCTGGACAGACACCATGAGCTGGGGCACGGAGCTTTGGGTGAGTGCTGTGGGGTTTATTTATTTATTGTCTAAACTGCATTCTCCTCTGTACACAGTGCTCAATATACACACACAGTGCTCAATATACACACACAGTGCTCAATATACACACACAGTGCTCAATATACACACACAGTGCTCAATATATACACACACAGTGCTCAATATACACACACAGTGCTCAATATATACACACAGTGCTCAATATACACACACAGTGCTCAATATATACACACAGTGCTCAATATACACACACAGTGCTCAATATATACACACAGTGCTCAATATATACACACACAGTGCTCAATATATACACACAGTGCTCAATATACACACACAGTGCTCAATATATACACACAGTGCTCAATATATACACACAGTGCTCAATATACACACACAGTGCTCAATATATACACACACAGTGCTCAATATATACACACAGTGCTCAATATACACACACAGTGCTCAATATACACACACAGTGCTCAATATACACACACAGTGCTCAATATATACACACAGTGCTCAATATACACCCACAGTGCTCAATATACACCCACAGTGCTCAATATACACCCACAGTGCTCAATATACACACACACACACACAGTGCTCAATATACACACAGTGCTCAATATACACACACAGTGCTCAATATACACACACAGTGCTCAATATATACACACAGTGCTCAATATACACCCACAGTGCTCAATATACACCCACAGTGCTCAATATACACCCACAGTGCTCAATATATACACACACAGTGCTCAATATACACACACAGTGCTCAATATATACACACAGTGCTCAATATACACACACAGTGCTCAATATATACACACACAGTGCTCAATATACACACACAGTGCTCTATATACACACAGTGCTCAATATACACACACAGTGCTCAATATACACACACAGTGCTCAATATATACACACAGTGCTCAATATACACACACAGTGCTCAATATATACACACAGTGCTCAATATATACCCACAGTGCTCAATATATACACACAGTGCTCAATATATACACACAGTGCTCAATATATACCCACAGTGCTCAATATATACCCACAGTGCTCAATATATACCCACAGTGCTCAATATATACACACACACAGTGCTCAATATATACACACAGTGCTCAATATATACACACAGTGCTCAATATATACACACACAGTGCTCAATATATATACACACACACAGTGCTCAATATATACACACACACAGTGCTCAATATATACACACAGTGCTCAATATATACACACAGTGCTCAATATATACACACACACAGTGCTCAATATACACACACACAGTGCTCAATATACACACACACAGTGCTCAATATATACACACAGTGCTCAATATATACACACAGTGCTCAATATATACACACAGTGCTCAATATATACACACACAGAGCTCAATATATACACACACACAGTGCTCAATATATACACACTGTGCTCAATATATACACACACACAGTGCTCAATATATACACACCCACAGTGCTCAATATACACCCACAGTGCTCAATATACACCCACAGTGCTCAATATACACCCACAGTGCTCAATATATACACACAGTGCTCAATATATACCCACAGTGCTCAATATATACCCACAGTGCTCAATATATACACACAGTGCTCAATATATACACACACAGTGCTCAATATATACACACACACAGTACTCAATATATACACACACACACAGTGCTCAATATATACACACAGTGCTCAATATATACACACAATTACTCAATATATACACACAGTGCTCAATATATACACACACACAGTGCTCAATATACAC